TCTTGTCACCTAAAACTGAAATTATAGTTTTCATTTATAATCGCCTTAAGGACTTTTTTTCGCTGTAATTCTTCTTACATTTACATAATTTTTAAGACTTACGAATTTCTTATTTTGTACATTTGTTGTGGTACAGAAAAAGGCTAATGGTGTTTTAGAGGAGAACGTTAGACACGATCGTTTGAATAATCTGATTTAAAAAATGTTGAAATTTAACCCGCAAAATTCGCAATATTCGCTGAGCGTTTAAAATTATAATGAACAGGGTTCTTTTGAATGAAATGTTACGTCTTTTCTATTGCCTGTTGTTTCCAGTTAGGGCCTTTAAAAAAAACATGGAGATCCGGGCGGGAGGCGGGGTCCTTGAGCTTGGAAATCCGGGTGGGAGGGGGGCTCTAGCAGTCTGGGAAATCCAGTCAGAGGGAGGGGTCAAAAATGCGCCATCCGTCAGGGGGGGGGGGGGTGTATTTTTTCTGGAATAACCCGTTACACAAACAAATCATAAACAATCAATTTTTACATTAACTTCGTTAAGACAGGTAAAATCATTTTCAATTAATACTCGTGCATTATGTAAATATGCAGTGCAGAACAGGTAAAGTTTCACCAGTTGTTGCTTAACCTGGAGAAAATTGTGGAGATAGTTTATCATTGTAAGATATGATTGCACGAAATATAATGTAATCAAACCACATCAAAGCCAGTGGCACCCCCCTCCCCCCACCCTACCACCCTTTCCCCATTCAATGTTGTATTGGTATTAAAATCAGCACAAGTCATACTATTTTCAACTTAGTTGTATCAACTAGTAAAATCTGTCCAGGGTTTTACGGTTTGCAACAGTAACTGGTCTGATGTGCATTAGTCTCTGGATTGAGCAGTCCAGCAGCTTTTATTAATTAGTATAATTATGTCCTATTACTGGGCTTTGTCTCTCATAGCCCCTTCCCAACAAGAGATCATAATAATTTATGAAGATAAAATTTGTACTTGTCAATGAGAACTGTAAGGATAATTTGGCAATAGAAATTGCTGGCAGGGGTTTAAACCTGTGATGGAAGTTTAATTAGTATCCCATGTATGTACGCATGTAGTAATAATTTAGCTGATGAAATTCCCACATCTTTGAATTGAAATGGTAAAATTATATATTTTTTGGTGAACAGAACTATGTTTGGCTGGAGCAGCCAAGAGCAAGGTGTGATGACATTAAAAACCATACCAGAAATGGCTGCAAGAAAATAGCAAATCCTAAATCAGATTATGTTACACATGAGGTAGGTGGAAAAGCATTTGTTGTTTCTTCTTTTTAATTACCAATTACAAACAAAACAACACTTTGTGCAATTTACAGCCACTTATGATGACAATGAATACTTATACTTGTCTAATTGACAAGATATTAATATATAAATTCGCACACTATTTTCTGTGGAGATGTAATATTATTTGAACATACAGTTACTTAGTACTTGCAATGTTGGAGAGGATTGAGGGCTAGTATGATCAGTAGCTGTGGTCAGTTACAGTTATCGGTGTTTTTACATACACAAACAAGGTGAAAGGGTCAATTTGCTTTCCTTTTTTGTACATGCCTATTCAAACAAAAGAATATATGACTGCAGACTCAACCGCAAATATGACAGCTGCTATTCAATACCCAATAGCCCAGTTTCAATGTATTAAAATTCAGCCTAACACAATAGACCTCAGCACAAGGCTCTGGGGAATAAACCCCACAAACTGTGTAGTTATTCCCCGGAGCCTCATACTGAGGTCGATTGTTTTAGGCTGAATTTTAGTATATCAAAATTGGTCTATTTCCATTGTGCTATGTTGCATTGCATTTGTTGCTTGGTTGGAAGTTATTTCTAATATACAACTGCAGTGGTTTGATTGATGCAAGTGAGAATGTGTTCCACAAAATTTGACACGGACACATATGTAGCATCTTTGTCAAGTTCTTCTACACACTGCACTGTTTCATATTCCCCAACCTAGGGGTCCCTAATTGCTTTTTGCTTTGCTTTGTTAATGCAGAGTAAGCCACTTGATGCAGATGTGAAAGTTACACCACAGAATTTAACTCTGTCTCTTAGACCAGGTAACTTCAACCCACAGAATAGCATTGTGTGGGGCCAATCTAGAAAATATCTGCACTCATCCCTAGGTTTTTTCGAAGTTCTAACATGGAGGGGGTCTCTAAAGCAAAAATCTTTATGGGCAGTATTAACCAAAACTGGAATTTCCAGGAGGATTTGGGAGGGCTGTTGGGGGGGGGGGGGGGGGGGGGGG